TGTGAGTGAGCCAGTCAAGTCAGGAACGGCCAGATCCGGAACAATCCCCATTTACACAAAGTGTCTAGATTAGTCACAGCCCTGGGGATAGAAGGCAGAGTGTTGGTTGCCCGGGGCTGTGGGGTGGGGAAGTTTGTACTAAATGAAGACAGAGTTTTACTTGAGGAAGATGAAAAAGTGCTAGGGGTGGGCGGTGGTGACAGTTGTACAAGATGTGAAAATGCTTAACGGCGCTGAACTGAACACTCAGAGGTGGTTAAAAGCGGTAAATTCCATGCTTTGTATACAGGGTGGCCATAAGGTTCGTGTGCAAATTGTACACTATTTTTAATTGCACACGAACTTTATGGCCACCCTGTATTTTACCATAAGTTTCTTTGAAGAAGACCATAAGCGCTCGCACGCACACCCCCTATGCCTCTCCTGAGTGCTGCTTCCTCACACTGAACCACGGCATAATCGTATAGATAAAACAATGATTTTCGACCAGTGTGCCATGAGCGGTTCTTGGGTGTGCTTCGAAAATTTTTGAAGATCATTAATCAAATTATTTTTGAAAGAAGTTCAAAGCCCAGTAAGTATATTCTTTTTGCTCTTGGGTTTGACCAACATAATTTAAATGTACCGTGAGATAAAAAACATTAAAAACGCTGCTGTAGAATAATGTTTCTTATTCTGCACGGATCCTTTCCTCAGTTACAGAGGAAGAGACAGAGAGACAGGCATCAGGGGCTGGCAGCCGGGCCTCGGGGGGCAGGGCTGCGGGAGGACCTACCTGGTCTGGAAGTGCCGCTCCAGGTCGCAGCGCTGCAGCACGGCGGTGCAATGCTCGGGGAAAGGGCAGGTCACCAGCAGCTTGTTGAGCAGCTTGTTGACCAGGAGGCTGGACTTCTTGCAGCGCTGCAGCAGCAGGGGCTTGCGGTCCACGGGGCAGAAGTCCTTCTCCAGCAGGAAGCTGGTGAGGCAGAGGGCGCAGTAGGTGTGTCCACACGGGGTGTCCAGAGGGTCCAGCAGCGCCTGCAGGCAGATGTGACAGATGAGGTCGTCGTCCACATCTTCCGCGTAGGTGTAGAAGTGGTTTTCCTCAGGGGAGTGGGCTTGGCCGCACACCGCGCACAAGGGCGTGGGGCTGGGCTCCGGCTCATCGGCAGAGTCCGGCTGGTTCATAGTCGACTGGGGAGCAGGGTACCGGGAAACGCAGTAACACAGTGTGTCCAGGGAGCAAGTCAAGACCTTCTAGGAGCCATCTATAGACCTAAAAGAGAACAAGACGCTCATCTCTGCTTCACAGCATGCGGGAGAGTGCATCGTGCTGAACGCGGGACAGTGCTGTCGAGGGCTGGGAACCTGAGCCCTGATTCAGAAGCCAGGGCTTAGTGCACATTCCCGAGTGACCGACCTGGGGCAAGCGACCTGGCTTTGTTGTGCCTTAGCTTTCCCACTTTCCCAGTGGGAATAATGTCTACCTTTAATGTCTTCATGTTGGGTCAAGCACAGAGGCTCACACTTGTAATCCCAACATTCTGGGAGGCCAAGGCAGGTGGATTGCTTGAGCTCAGGAGTTTGAGACCAGCCTAAGCCAGAGTAAGACCCCATCTCTACTAGAATAAAAACACCAGCTGGACATGGTGAAGGTTGTCTATAGTTTCAACTACTTGGGAGGCTCAGACAAAAGGATTGCTTGACCCCCAAGAGTGTGAGGTTGCTGTGAGCTGTGACACCACAGAACTCTATCCAGGGCAACAGAGTGAGACTCTGTCTCAAAAAAAAAAAATCCTCATGTTAGTGTAGTAAAAATCATTTGGGAGATTCTCAACCTGTGGGTCACAACCCCTTTGTAACAATGAAAATACATTGCGGCATTAGGAATGTTGAGAACCACTGGTCTAGAACTAAAAAGAAATGTGCTCTCATAACTGTAATTTGACCAATGATTAAGTAAAATTAAATAAACTAGTGATTTATAAAATGTTCTGTCAGATCAGAGCAACAATAAAACCAAACACTGAGTTAACACTCTGAGGGCTTTCTCTCATCTTTCTCCAAAACTTAGAAAATTCCAGACCTCAGAGCTTTCAACTAACCCATCTGAGAAGAAATAAGAGCTGTTCAGGATTTTGCATTTGTATTCTGGTAAATACACTGTTTTTTTTCTATTTGCATTTCACTCAGTCAGCCAGTCATTAGTGGCTAAATGGGCCCTGGCCGTGCTGCCTGGGTTCAGATTTCACCACCACTATGGACCAATGATCTCAGCCTCTGCATCCACATCTGTAAAATGGGTATGATAACAGCTTACTTGATAGGACTGCTGTGAGGATTAAATGAGACAAGATACACAAAGCTGTAGTGTCTTCCAAGTACTCAATCATTCTTTATATGTGTGTTATTAGATTCATTTTGTCTCTGTTCTAGCTCCATTGGCCCAGAAACAGAAAACTATAGTTGAAAAATAGTTGAAAACTAGAGTTGAAAAAAAGAGTTGAAAAATAGACAAGAAAATGCGCCACCCAAAGGGCACTTTTTACTTTTTGTTCTAATGATACTCTTCCATTTCATTAGAAATTTCTTTCAAATTAGGAGAACACTATAACAATATACATTTTCCTTAGTAAATGGACAAGAGTCCAAAATAATGGAGCTTTCGGACATGCTTTATTTACAATACAGTAAGGCTCATGGATAGTCAATACATATTTTTTAAGTACCAACTCTGAGCTAGGTAATGAGCTGCATGTACAGACCTGTGAGGGAGATTTAAAGGACTCACCTCTGCTCGCAGGCAGCGCTACAGAGAGGGGATGTGGGCATGGGCACAGGTGGTTAGAAGCCCGGGTAAGCAGTATACCCAGGACTTCAGCAACTTCCATGGCAACTAAGAATCCTGCCTCCTCCTTGGATCCAACGTCCTAGTGCAGGCTGGGGACTAAGAACCCCTGGCCTTCTGAACTCAACTTTCTTCTTTTCCAAAAGTAAATAAGAAGTCCTTAAACTTTCCGCAGGAACATAACGACACGTAAATGACCTAACGGGAAACTGCCACATTTGGAGATAGATGGCAGTCATAAACTGCATTATATCTTTTCTCTTTTCCAAATAAAGTCTGTTTGTACAAACATAGCCTTATCTCAAAAAGAAAATACAGGGACTTCAAACTTACATTGAGTCAGCTTCGTGGTTTACATTTCTGAACTGCACCCATATGCCTGGGGGAACACTGGGCTGGAGAGGATGGAGTAAAGTGCCCTGACTGCAGACGCTTACAGATCGCAGCCCTTGATTGAGCGTCACACCGGACCACAGACGGCAAAGGTACAGGGAGCCGGAGGGTGAAGTCGTTTCCCGTCAATTTTATGGAAATCTACACAGCTGCTACTTGTCCTCAAGACTGATAGGAGGTACTGGAACCTCACAGGAAATGCGCCAGAAAAAACTGAAAAATGAACATGAAAATGCAGATGGGCCACCCACCAAATTATCTTCTACTGTGGAGGGGGCCTCACTCATGGTGACCTGCAGCTCTAGACCTTCTAAGTTTCTCTGCAGGATGCTGTCACGTGGCCCCACATTTTTCTCACTAAGCAGTAGGCAGTGTCTGCAGCAGGAATTCAGGTTACAGCTCCTGTCACAACACCGAAAAAGCAACTTCACATTTCTGGGCCATCCCCTTATTGGTGACATGGCGGGACTGGGCCAGATTTCAGACTGCTTTTCACACTGTGCAGTGGAGGACAGACCCCCAAGCCTCGAGATATCCCGAGGCAGTGAAGACAGGAGGAAACACCGAGGAGCTCTGCTCACTTTTCTCTCTCGCACTCAGTCTCTGCTTTTATTTACTTGACACATCAGGTTCTGCATAATATTCCGTCCAAAGAACCCAAGCTTAAGAAAGGAAATCGCCAACCACCAGATAAGTTTACGGTCCCTTACAGAGATAGAGTTCTAGCCTTCTGCTCCCATCAAGTGGGAATGTTTTACTTTTGCTTTCTAACAGTTTGCTGGACTATTACCATGTGCCAGGCGTGTGTTAGGGGCCTTTTATATATTAGGAGCCCCCAAGTTTAATACTCACAAACACCCAGGATTTTTTTTTTTAACATATGAGGAAACCGAAATGTAGTAAATAAGTAACTTGCCTGTCACACCACAAAGGGAACCAGCCCAGGAAGGGCGTCGGACTCCCAGTTTCTGCTCTGTAACCTTCTGCTGCTTTATCTCCCAGCATCTTTCTGCCTTTCTTCTTTTTGTTTGTTTCATGAGATCTGGGTAGAGTGTCATGGTGTCATAGCTCTCAGCAACCTCAAACTCTTGGGCTGAGTAGCTGGGACCACAGGTGCCCACCACAATACCCAGCTGGTTTCTCAGTAGAGAGGGGGTCTTGCTCTTGCTCAGGCTGCTCTGGAACTTCTAAGCTCAGGCCAGCTGCCCACCTCAGCCTTCCAGAGTGCTAGGGTTACAGGTGTGAGACGCCACAGTCGGCCTCAGCATCTTTCTGTGATTATGCTTAATCACAATACCAATAATGTAACTAATTAAATACAAGAGTCCCAGGAAATCAGAAGTTTTTTAAAAAAATGTTTTCAGGACCCACTACAAGTGCAGCTATGCATGACTTAATGACGGGGACCTGTCCTGGGAAATGGGACGCTATGATTTCATCATGCAAACATCACAGAGTGAGTGCACTGAACAGACACAGATGTCACAAAGGGCACTGACACACCCCCAGACGGCACAGACAGCACTGACACACCCCCAGACAATCACAAAGGGCACTGACACACCCCTAGACGGCACAGCGAGCACTGACACACCCCCAGATGGCACAGAGGACACTGACACACCCCCAGATGGCACAGAGCGCACTGACACACCCCCAGACGATACAGACCACAATGACGCACACCCAGATGGCACAGAGAGCACTGACACACCCCCAGATGGGACAGAGAGCACTGACACACCCCCAGACAGTACAGAGAGCGCTGACACCCCCCCCAGACGGCACAGAGGGCGCTGACACACCCGCAGATGGAACAGAGAGCACTGACACCAGATACCACAGACCACACTGACGCACGCCCAGATGGCACAGAGTGCACCGACACACCCCCGGACGGTACAGAGAGCGCTGACACACTCCCAGACGGCAGAGTGCACTGACACACCCCCACAGAGCGCTGACACACCCCCAGATGGCACAGAGCGCACTGACACACCCCCAGACGGTACAGAGCGCTCTGACACACTCCCAGACGGCAGAGTGCACTGACATGCACCCCCAGATGGCACAGAGCGCTCTGACACACCTGCAGATGGAACAGAGCGCACTGACACCAGACACCACAGACCACACTGACACCCAGATGGCACAGAGCAGGTTGATGCACAGCCAGACGGCGCAGAGCACGTTGACATACACCCTGACGTCACAGAGCGTGCTAAGGCACACCCAGAAGGTCTAGCCTGCTACTCACATAGGCTACAAGCTACAGCCCATGGCTCGCAGGCTACACCCCTGCACAGCTGTTACTGTTCTGATTACTGTAGGCACTTGTTAACACAGTGGTGTGTATTCGTGTGTCTAAATACATCTAGGCTCGGCGCCTGTGGCTCAAGTGGCTAAGGCGCCAGCCACGTACACCCAAGGTGGCGGGTTCGAATCCAGCCCGGACCTGCCAAACAACAATGACTGTTGCAACCAAAAAAAAATAAATAAATAAAAATAAAAAATAAATAAATACATCTAAACATAAGGTACAGTGAAAATACCCTTAATATTAGGGACCACCATCATGTACGCAGAGCACCATAGACCAAAACACTGTTACGGGTGCAGGAGTAGAGACAGAGATCCGGGAAGAGAAGGATTCCTTGACTTTACTGAGGGCTGAATGCCCGACACAGAATGCATGGAATGGGGTCAGCAAAATCGGCAGGTTTTAGCTACAGCTCCAGTTTTCTTTTTCCTCCATTCCTCCCTCTTTCTCCCTTCTTTTTTTCTTTCTGAGAGCAATTTGAATTCCCTGGCACTTAGCCAAGTGGGTGAACCATATTCTCAGTATAATATTAATGTAAACAGTGCTATATATGTTTTCTGAGTTGGCTTTAGACTAAATAAAGCCTACATGAATACACACAGATTACGAGAGAGCTGAGTGAACAAGCAGCTTTGGCTCTAAGGGAAGAGCCAGCCAGCCTTGTTTACCTGGTAGTTCTTACTCTACTTCACATTCTACCTAATAAACACGTGTG